AGAGAGAGAGAGAGAAAGAGAAAAGAAACACAGCGTAAGGAACACATAGGGTTTAGATTAGTGTGATACAAGGTACGACAAAGCAATAATTTAGTGATTGTACGATATACTTTAGCGAATTAGTGCTAGCTTAAGTTAATAATACTTTCGAAATCTATAAATATTTAATCGATAAATCGTATAGTTTTGTAGAAACACTGAGAGGATTGCCATTTCAGATTAACACTGTCTTGGGATCAAAGATTTAGGGGGAAAAAAATAGGAGGGGAAAACAAAAAAAAAAAAAAGAAAAAAAGAAGGAACTAGTCTTGGAAGTCGGAACGAGCACAAGCGCGATATAAATCCTGGATCACAAGAATTTACAAGGATCTTTTTCTTTCGTATCAACGGGAGACAACGCACGAACAGACAACTCGGTGGAAAACTAAAAAAAAAAATGAAACGAACGAACGAGATCTTGAGCACATTGTGAGCTCGCTTTGACTTTTTCTAACACGGACGAATAGTTATACTAATATTCGCGATTATGGATATTTCACACATTCACTTGGGAGAAGCGGGATAGATACATCGCCTTTAAAATTCCGATAACACAACGTGACGCTTTGTCATTTGAAAGAAGGGGTCATCTAGCCGTCAGGTGCCAAATTTATATGCACGCCGAAAGAAAAAGATTTGAGAAAAGAAGAGAAAAGAGCAAGGAGAGCCGTTCACCGATTCATACCCGAATAACGATGATCTGTATCGCAGTGCAGCTTGTGTCGCTTATGATTAACGATTTACGACATTCACTCTTATCCTCCACACACACACACACACACACACACACACACACACACACACACACACACACACACACACACACATTGCTGACTACACCATATATGTATAATAGAAATCGTCACTTAACGGATGAGACTGAAAGGGAAATAAACCGTTAAAACCGTTTACTGTGCGCGTCTTTTCATAATTTTCTAGGATATTTTTTCCGGAGGAGCCCATTCGCAATAAATTATTGGTTACCGCGACTATACCAGAGACGGTTTTATTTGTGACAGCGTCATCATGGAAATGCGAGTGAGATCGGAAAATGAGGTTGCAGCGGCAGAAAGTTGTTTACTTCGATCTGCCTATGCCAACTTTTTTTCAAACGAAGAAAATATACTCGGGAAATTTATTCGCGGCTGTCAGAGCCTCGTATAAATTCGTAGAATAAATGGAATCGAATTTACTCGCTTCTTTCACGTCAACACAAGTTTATAGAATTTTTAGAAGGTATATAACAGGGCGACCTGTTGGTGATCCGATATGTAAAGTTGAAGCTTACTTTTGATAATCAATAAACATCAATTTTTTTTGACAGTCGTCGCCGCTCTTAAATTTTGCAAGAAACATGATAACACAAGTGTAAGATACATCTGCAAACGTGTTGCAATAGGAAAGTCGTCCGCAACAGTAAAATAAATATAGACGAAATGTTCTTCCACTTAAAACACGTTGCGACAAATAGCCGAAATTTAGCAGAAGATGAAGAAACCGTTTTTCGAGTAAAACAATTATAAGTGTACAGGTAATATCGATTTTTTTTTTTAAATCGTTATAAATCTTTATGTTCCCAATGAACACAATATACAGAAACACGTATAAAATCAATGATGTATTATTTATGGCACTCGCCACTTACTCGAAAAACTTAATAAATTCAATTCGATTGAATGCAAAATCGACAAAGGTAAAATATCACGTTATAATATCTAAAACTGATAACTCATAATTTATAACTTAATACGCATAACTTTTTCACAAACCGATGCGTGTGTAAACTTCGGCGTGTGTAAACTACCACAAATTCACGCGTGTAAGAATATAAAGGTGATAAAGGATGAATTTGCCAATTTTGGAACAATGTAACACCAAACTACTTTCAACTAGAAATATTGTACACATCGCGCGTACTTTTTAATGTCAAAGCAAACTTTGTTAGTCATTTATAACGTCAGGTCGTTGCGCGCATCTGTATGTACACTTACAACGCCGATACCTAGAGAGATAGGATTAACACAGAACAATTACCAATTACCCTTCGAAGACGCTATACTCGGTATCTCCGAAGAGTTTTCTTTTCGCAGATTCAGTACCTATCACGAGCACGATCGATATTTCAAACAGCAGGGAAAATATCATTTCGGAGATGTTACAATCTTTTGGTATGTTTCAAACATTCGAATGTTCTTCAAAATTTACCTGTTGTTTGGAATATTATGGTTTTACGTGTTAATGCGCGTGCGCGCGCGCGCGCGCGCGTGTGTGTGTGTGTGTGTGTGTGGATATGCGTATGTGTGTATGTGTATGCGTGCAGTGGCGATTATTCTTCGCTAAAAATCTGAAACTGATTGTTGCGTCGATCTTTCGTGCATCAGGTGCTGAATCGAAGAAACGATTTACTCGAGCTCGAAGAGTTTGGGATAGAGCGTTCTAACGGGCGACGACAAACACGTTCACGACCAACATACACGTGTAAATCACGAATAAAATAGCGGCGGATACCTTTTACAAATTTTTCGTAGCGCAAGCTGCGGCATCCCGTCGCCGCGGTATCGACGAAAGCAATTTTACATAATATTTACAGCGGTGTGCAATAAACAGCACGTCACACATTAAATTAATTCGTACCCAGTAATGTAATGCAAATGCCGATCGTGTTACTGACATGTTTCTTATCAATAAACTAAACCTTAAATATGAATTATATATACGAATTACTTATTTCATCCCGACATTCTTGTAATCTCCGAAATATCCTTTGAGATCATGTGCCGTTCAGAAAATTAATAAATATGCGAACAGCTTAAAGATTAACTAAATATTGCGCTTGCATATATTGCTTTCTCAAATATATTTTGCCTACCCACTTTTAACGACTCAAGAAAATAATAATAAAACAATGACGTCAAAAACAAAACCATTTTTAATAATCAAGATTAACGAAATATATATTTATAGCAGTTTTACTAATATAATACAAGAGATCTTAGGTTTTCTAAATTTCGTGAATCTTACTTCGATCCGAGAGGGAAAAAATTAGTGTGCAATTTGAATTTAATTACATAAAAACATTACAAGTGTGACGATATTATGTATTACATCGACAACTTTCTCGCGTATTATGATTACGACAGCTGATACAGCTGAAAATATACTGTTGAACATTTGTAAACTTATCATAATTGTATATTTCAAACTATAGTACAAAGTATTTGTGAGACTAAAATATTACAATTACAATCGTTACTGCAGCTATTTATCGCCAGAGGCTGTCTTGGAAGGCTGCGCTTTGTTCGCTGCTTTGTTCTTGTCACCATCCTCAGAAGATTCTCCCTTCTGCGTATTCCATTCCTTCAAACCTTCCGGTAATGTAGTATCCTCTTCGAAAGAGCCCGTGCCTTCAACAAATTCTTCATAGGTAGATTTTTCACGGAAAGGACGGGGTCCGAGTAATTCGATCATGTCGTTTCTGCTTAAAATCTCCTGCTTCAACAATCGTTCAGCGACCTGAAATTAAAGGAAATTATCTTAATTATTGTCAAGTTATTTATTTAAATAGATAATAATATCATCGTTACCTTAATCACGTCTTCTTTATGTTCGTTCAACAAAGCTAGCGTTCGTTTATGCGCCTTATCGATCAATTCTCGAACTTCATTGTCGATAAGTTGTGCGGTATATTCCGAATACGGTTTGTCAAAGGCAAATTCTCCTGGACTTGGCATTTCAAAACTGACGTTTCCAACTTTTTCGTTCATACCGTATTGCGTAATTTGTGCATATGCAACTTTTGTAATCTTAGAAAAAAAAAACAACAAATGATTGATACAAACAACTAAAAAAAAATACATATAAATATAAGAGAATAAAAATATTGCAGAATCATCAACTAGCCTGATGCTAAAATAATTTGTGAAATAAAAGATCTGAGTTTGAAATCTCTACATATTTAATATTAATTTATAATTAATATTAATATTAATTTATTATATTTAGTTAATAATACCTTCTGTAAATCATCCTGTGCACCTGTAGTTATTCTGCCGAAAAAGATTTCTTCCGATACTCGTCCACCAAGCATCATGCACATTCGATCGAATAATTGTTCCTTTGTGTAAAGATACAATTCACGCGGCAAGTATTGAGCATATCCTAATCCCTTACCGCGTGGAATAATGGATACCTACAGGAATAACATAAGATTCGCCAATATTGAAAATCTATATCGTTCATCATGAAACGTAGATAAGATATAGTAACCTTCAAAAGTGGATCTGCATGCTCTAAGAACCAGCCAGTTATCGCATGACCAGCCTCATGGTACGCAACCGTCTTCTTTTCTTCTGGTTGTAATACTTTGGTTTTTTTCTCCAATCCAGCAACTACTCTCTCAATAGCTTGCTCGAAGTTTTTAAGTTGAATATAATCATTTAAATCTCTTGCCGCAATCAGGGCTGCTTCATTGCAAACGTTTGCAATATCAGCTCCTAAGAATTTTACATACAATAGTGATTTTATTTAATGTAAATTATTTTATTATTGATTTAGTCTCTTAATTTTTTATATATTCAATGTATTCAATTATATATAACATATATTCAACTATATATAATTCAATTATCTAAACCTGTAAATCCAGGCGTCAAGGAAGCCATTTTTCTCGCTAATTCATCCTTATCTAATTTCGTTTTCAAAGGAGCTAAATGCACTTTGAAAATGGATGCTCGTCCTTTGATATCAGGTGCAGGAACAAATATTTGCCTGTCAAATCTTCCAGGTCTTAATAATGCTTTATCTAAAATATCTATCCTATTAGTCGCCGCTAGTACAACCACATTAGTCGTCGTATTAAATCCTTAAAAATGGAATAAAAATAAAAGATTATTTCGCAATTTTTTATCTTTTCATATTTGAAATTACGATGTACCATCCATCTCTACCAAGAGCTGGTTCAATGTATTCTCCTGCTCAGAATGTCCTCCGAAGTTCCGACCTCCTCTCTTTCGTCCAACTGCATCAATTTCATCAATAAATAATATACACGGTGCATGCTTTCGTGCCATAGAAAACATATCGCGTACTCTGGAAGGGCCAACACCCACAAACATCTCCAAGAATTCTGAACCTGATACTGTAATAAAGGGTACATTCGCTTCACCAGCTGTAGCTTTAGCTAACAAAGTTTTACCGGTACCAGGAGGCCCTGTAAAAAACATGACATATCACATGACATCTTCAATTTGCTCATTATAACACGATATAAATAAATTTTTCGATCATTTTGGTCATTTGAGATCTTATGCGCGATTAATCAGATATTAATTTCATTAGATTAAGATTCTATCAAACGACCAAAAAGTTTTTACTTATCTATATTGTGTTATACACAATTATTAGTCATTATTTAATTATTACATTAATCATTTCATATGACATTACATATAACTTTACATACTTGATATAAGCTTTAGTTACCTGTTAACATAGCGCCCTTTGGAATTTTAGCCCCAAGGTCTATATACTGCTGTGGATTTTTTAAGAAATTTACAAACTCCATAATTTCGATTTTAGCTTCTTCACACCCGGCTACATCCCTGATATTAAACAACAAATAAAATTTATGTAATGCACATGTGTTAAATCTTTTGTGTGTGTGTGTGTGTGTGCGCGCGTACGCGCGCGCGCGCGTATGTGTGTATGTGTAGAAAAGAAAATATACATGCATTACTTACTTAAATCGTACATCGATATCTTTCGAGTTTATAAGTTTCGCAGTTGATTCCATTACTTGACCAAAAAGTCCACCTCTTTTACCTCCTTTACCAGACATTACTTCCGCAGATCTTCGTATTAAGAATATGAAGAATCCTAAAATACGTTTTAACAATAATAATAATACACATACACGTGTGACGAATATTACTTTTCTATAATGATTTACATATTAATGATTACTCACCCCACATAATAATATGTGGTATATACGATAAAATATTCGCAACTTCTATTTCATTTTTGTAGACCACAGGAATATAATTCTCAGGTCCCATATTTAATTCTAATTGTGCATTTTCTAAATTCCTTTCAAAGGTATCAGTACTTCCAATATTAAACCATACAAATTCCTACAAATAAATATTAAAGACAACAGAAATTCCAACAAAAAAAAAATGGAATAAGTAAATCCATTACTTAATTTTATATTTAAGGAAGACTTACAGAACCATTAACGGTATGTCCAGGTAAAAATCTAACACGCACCCATTTCTTATTTACTACTTCTAACTTGTCGACAACACCTTTATTTAAATAACTGAAAAATAAAATATATCTTATAACATTGTAGATGTTAATTATTTTTTTATGTAAATTTACTTTTTTTAATAAACAAAATAAAAGTTGGATATTTAAAAACCTATTAATGTTTATAATTTCTAAAAATCAATTATCTATCTCATTACAATTGTATCTTACAATTCTGTAATGATATATATTGTCTTATATTGCATATATACAATGCTGTTAATATAAATGTAATAGAATAAAATTTGCTTACTTATATATAAATTCTCTCCAAGTGATTTCTTTCTGATTCAAATCTTGGACAATTACGTAGGAAAGCACACCAATTGTTGCAAGTGCAACAGAAAGGAATATTTTATCCTTATCATGACCATCAAACGATCTACCTCCTTTTGAACCAGTTTCCATTTTAAATAACCCCTGGAAAATTGAATCCTTGGAAGATGACGAAGTAGATGAAGATGAAGATGATGATGGGGGAGGTTTTTTTGTATTAGTTTCTTTACTTGCTTCTTCAGCTTTTTTAGCTGCATCTTTACCATTTTTACCTTCACCTATAACACAATTTTTTTAGAAATTATGTATAATTTATTACAAAAATTAAAAATAAATGAAAACCACAAAAAGACATCGAGAACCTTTTTTGAAGAATTTTTCAAATCCTTTGGGTGGCTCTTTACAAAATAATCTCCATTTCTGCTGCACCTGTTCAATGGCAGATTGTGCAGTACTATTTTTAAGTAATGATAAGTGTCGTCTCAACTGGAATGACATATTCTAGCTTAATCCTATTGTTCTAACAAAAAATGTTAAATAATCGCGAAAATTATATTACTATTCTTGATATTCCAATTATATGATTTCTTTACGAAAATTTGCAATTCATTGCGACGCTGATGTAAACCATGTGTTACATCGAGACATTTGGCACGACTAGTGCAAAAGACGCGTGCATAAAAAATACGTATTTTTTTGGAAAATACACCGCGCGTTCAGAAAATAAATCACAGCTATGGCAAAAAAATGCAAATTACGCATCGGACGCGACGGAACGTCCGCGGCTTGCGAATTACACCATTAGGTGTAATAGTGTAAGGCGTAGTTGTCAACTGTCGCAAGACGACATCCCGTCGCGTTATCCTCACCCATCGGGTGAGACCCATCGAGATCGTCCTTACGGACGAGCGCGTCGCATTATATCACGAGCACGCGAAGCAGCTAAGAGGTTATGGTACCTGAAACGTGTCGAAATAACCTTTCTGAGCTGACTGCAGGAGCAGCCTCTCCAGCTTGCTGGCTGAGAAGAGCAGCTGATGCGCCATGCCTGGTACAATCGTAATTTGTGAGTCTCACGAGAGATTTAGAATCACCTTTCGCTTATTTGGTTTTTCCCTCCCCGAATCACTCGAAACACGACGAACTACCGGCCGCGGGCGACCATCTCACTTATCGCCGGTGAGGCAATACCTCGATCCACGGAGGCACGCATCGGTTTCGGATTCACCATCCAATGTCGTCATCGGGGAAAGAAAGATGATCGCGAAAGATTTGCTCGTGATTACATCTTCCGCGGCCTAACTATCCGGCAGTTGTTTCTCGGCAAATTTGAAAATTGGAAAGGGTTTTAATTTTTAAATATAAAAATATAAGGGTGATTCGGAACACTTATTCTTTTTTAAAAAAAACATATTCTTGATATTGAATTCTGAAATGATTCTTTTCTGTTTCGAAACTTTGTCTTATTTTATTTTTTTGGTGAAATTTTTGGTTTTTAAATTATAAAAAAATATTTTATTTATGAATCGAATATAGGAAATTTTTGTAAAAGCGGCAGAATTTATTGTCAAGTATGGGCACTAATTATTTGATAATAAGCAAAACTAACATAAAAACTATTTCTTTTTATAATTCTCAGATTCTCAGACGAGAAAAATTGAAATTTAATTAAAAATATGTTCTTTGAAGAATAAATTGTTTTAGAGATATATAGATATTTAAAAATATATAAATATCTAGAAGTTTTACATTATTTCGATTTATATGAATAATAAATCGTTATTTGTTTACATGAGTATATAAATCATTATTTCCTCATCCGTTATTTAAAATAAATATATACTATTTATTTATTTAAAAGACACAAGAATGCTTCAATAATGATTCTTCAATAACAAGTTACAATTTTTATTATATTTTTTTTCTACACTAATAATATTTTTTTGTACACATTTTTACACTAATTTTACACTTAATTTTTTACACTAATTTTTACACTAATTTTTTACACTAATTTTAATACTTCAATGTATTAAAAGTCCGCCATTAGATCTACCATTTTATTTTTCGAATTCTCCACATTTACAAAAGGCCTAATTTCAAAAGATTTAATTTCTTGAACTTATCTTTTTTCTTTTTCTCTCTAAGTGTCGGTCCACAATAAGTATTTAATCTTTAAGTCGTAGAAATTGACCAATCATAGTCGATTATTCTTTTCATATTTGATTATAATTGGTCAATTTCTTACTTCTTAAAGCTTAAATCACCTATTGTGGATCGACATTATTGTAGACCGAGACTAACATGGAGAGAAAAAGAGAAAAGAGATCAGCCGTGCAAGAAGTTGAAATAAAAAGAACAGGTCTACGATTGGCTAGTTTCTCTTCACATGCAAAGCCGTGTGAATAGACCTTTAAGAAACATTTTATTTCAAACGAATAGGAACTTTATACAAGTTTTTGAGACTTGTTAAGACTTGTGAACTTTATTAACATTGCTGTGCAAGAAATATTATATACAAGTCAGAAATACATTCCTTTAAATTATAAATATAGCATTAAATTATAAAAGTTTTTATCAAGTTTTAATATGAATTCGAATACAGGTTCAAAGGTAAGTTTATGGCTGCAACAGTGATTGTAGGTTACATTACATATGTCAGGATAGTAGAAGATAGATGCAAGAAAAAATTTATTATTTCAGAAAAAAAATTATGACATTTTTACAATATCATATAATATTATTCTTTTTTAGCCTGCTGTTGCACCATCTGTGCAGGAATTTAGTATTAGAGTACCAAAGTTTGTATCGTTGATGCTTACATTTTCTCTTCCCTTACTTCATTGTAATAAATTTTTAATTAAAATCAATTTTCAATGGATTTTTTAGAAATAGCAAAAAGAAACACAATGTTATGAGATTCAACGCAACATTGAATGTAGATTTTTCAAAATGGACTCAAGTAAAGATGGAACGAGAAAACAATATGAAAGAATATAAGGGTGTGGAAGAGGAAATGCCGAAATTTGGTGCTGGATCTGAATTTGGACGTGATGCCAGGGAAGAAGCCAGGAGAAAGAAGTATGGTATTACTAGTCGGAAATATAAACCAGAAGATCAACCATGGATTCTGAAATCTGGAGGTAAAACTGGAAAGAAATTTAAAGGCATACGAGAGGGAGGAGTTAGTGAAAACGCAGCGTATTATGTCTTTACTCATGCTGCCGATGGTGCAATAGAAGCTTTTCCTTTACATGAATGGTAGATATTTTATATTATTAATTGTTTGCTGATGATTATTTAAAAATTTAAAACATTTGTATGTAGGTATAACTTTCAGCCAATACAGAGATATAAAGCTCTTAGTGCTGAAGAAGCTGAGCAAGAGTTCAGTCGTAGAAACAAGGTAATGAATTATTTCTCACTCATGTTACGCAAAAGATTGAGAAATGATGAGGATGGTGGAGACGAGGAGGAGTTGGTAGAAGGTGGTAAAGGCAAAAAGTCAGGCAAGAAGGAAAAGGAATTGAAAATATCCGAAATGGATGAATGGATGGATAGTGACGATGATGAATCAGATAGTGATGAAGAAGAAACTAAGAAAGGATCTGAAGATGAGGATGATGGAAAGAAGAAAAAAAAGACAAAGGTAATAAATGAAGTTATTTATTAATTATATATGTAATTTATTTTGATTGTCTAAAATAATCTATTACAAACAAAAACAATATAATTATATAATTTAAATTAAATATTCTAGTTCAATTACAAAAGAAGAAAAAGAAGAAGAATGTATCAGACGATGAAGCATTTGAGGAAAGTGACGATGGTGATGAGGAGGGAAGAGAATGTGATTATATTTCTGATTCCTCTGATTCTGAATCCGATAAGGAAATCAAATCTGTCGCAGAAGAAGATGCGTTGAGAAAGTTACTCGCATCCGATGAAGATGAAGATGATGAGGAACAAGCAGATAAGAAGGATGGCGAAGAAGATAAAGATGAAGACGAGGAAGGAAAGGAAAAGGATGATAAAGTAACATCATTATAATATTGATTAATAGGGAATGCATATGTTGTATTTTATATTTCTTCATATTCTTGAAATGATAGAAATTATTCCATCACATTTATAACTTATTAGATATGTTCGTCAATTACTTTGTTCTATATTTCTAATGTATTTCAGGACAAAGACAAGCTTGGTAAGGAAGCAGACAAGAGGAAAGATAAAAAGAAGAAAAAGAAAGCCAAGAAGAAAGACCAGAAAAAATCAGCATCAGGAAAGGATTCCTCCAGCGATTTTTCAAGCGATTCGGAATCAGATTCAGATACAACGCTAAAAGAGAAAGATAATAAAAAACCTAATAGCGCACACAGTTCGAGATCAGCGACACCAACACCTGCAGCTAGTGCCTCGGATTCTCTCAAGAGAAAGCAATCTGGATCTCCGGATTTGTCGCAAGCGAAAAAATTAAAACTCGATAACTTCAATTTAGTTCCAGTAACACCGTATATACCGGGAGCGAAGTACGTTTTTGTCTTTGCATTAAACGACATAGGCATGCAGTAGTTATTGTAATATTTATCATGCGCATTTTGTATCTTTCAGCGAATCGGGAATTACGGAGGATGCAGTGAGGCGGTATTTGATGCGCAAGCCTATGACAACGACCGAATTATTACAGAAATTCAAATCCAAGAAGACTGGCCTCACGTCCGAACAACTTGTCAACATTATGACTCAGATACTGAAAAAGATAAATCCAACGAAGCAAACTATCAAGAATAAAATGTATTTATCGATCAAAGCGCAATCCAACTGATGTGACATGTAGCATCGAGTTGTTTATGATTGTTTAAAATTACGAATGTATAGTGTTTATCCAGTTGCATAATGCCGTTCTTTCTAATACAACAGAAAAGGATAGCACATTAAAATTTTAAAAAACCGTATCAGATCGTTTTAATTCAACTCCATGATCTCTTTAAATAATGCGATTGAGGCGAATATCGGGCACTAGCGTCATGCTTGTTAAGTTTGTATTGTTTGCGATTATGCATTTACTCTTCGTGTCATCATTATCAAGTCGACGATAAACGCGTGCAAGAAGAAAAACAGATTTTTTTCCGGAGTACATCGTAAACTTCTTTTATTGGTAGATTCGGTACGGTTAGAGGGTCATACAATGCCGATAAGAGCGTGGCTCCGAGTTTATCAACAATTTTGTAATTCTTTCTTTACCGATCCGAATAGTGTAAACACATACATATAGTATAGATATATATATATATATGTACAGACATAATGATATGAGCTTATTTCAAAATATCTAAAAACCGTTTCACATAACATCTTTGTACATACAAGCAAACTTCTATCAAGAAGCCGCATTATTCCAGTTGACGCGATCACCGTGAATCGGTTTCAACTAGTGAATTCCTCTTGAATCCCTCGAAAACGGAGACCTTTACGCTACCACTAAATCAGCATCGACCAAGGTGTGATGCTGATGTTAAGATTAATCGAGGCTGGACGTGAATCACGTCATCTATTGACTGCTGCAACTCGTGTAGTCATCCATAACGCAAGATGTATAAGTGTAAGCATTTAATTACATTTCAAATAATATCCATGTGATTAATGATCATTCATTTAATCAATCACACTAACTGTCGGATATCGCAGATTCTTGTAGAATTAAAATACAATAGAATAATAAAAAGAAAAAAAAAAACAATAAGTAATTTATTTTAATTCTAAAATTTGTATTTTTTTTTTTTATTTTCAAAGTCTTACGTTGAAAGTCATTTTTAATTTTTTCTTTTTATTGTTCATATGGAGCTGTCGACTGATCGCGATAAAACGAAGTGATAAACATGATGACTTTTGAAAAATCAAAAACTGATTTTTTTTTGTATAAACTAATGTACTGATTTTGAATATTCTTTTAGAATCTTAAGGGTAAAATAATAGCCATAAGACGGGAGGATCAGTCAGTATGGGAAAGGAGAGCCCCATTAGCTCCATCAAATGTTCGCCGTCTCGTCAGATCGGGTGTGAAAGTGATCGTGCAGCCCAGCAACCGAAGGGCTTATCCTGCCCAAGCTTATCAGGCGGCAGGCGCTCTTCTGCAAGAGGACATCAGCTCAGCCTCCGTTATCTTCGGCGTCAAGCAAGTGCCCGTAGATCAGTTGATACCTAATAAGACATACTGCCTTTTTTCGCATACCATCAAAGCCCAAGAAAGTAATATGCTCCTCCTGGATGCAATCCTGGAGAAGAATATACGTTTATTAGATTATGAGAAACTCACGGATGCCAATGGCCAAAGGGTAGTGGCTTTCGGCAAATATGCTGGAGTCGCCGGTATGGTGAACATACTTCATGGTTTGGGTTTGAGACTGTTAGCCTTGGGTCATCATACTCCGTTTATGGTATGCTTATATATTCTAAAAATAATTAAATATTCGGTTTCTATTAAATGTTATCTTGTAATATAATTTCCGCTTAAATCAAATTATATTACATTGAATTATTAGACACTTATGTTGTTTGGAATAACTTTAATCTTATATCTTAGAAAATAATTGATTAAAAAAAGAAATAAATATACATATATACATATTTCTAAACATATTTCAAAAAGAAATATGTTTTTTTATTTTGAATTGATAAATAATTAATAATAATTTTCCTTATATTTTTCTTTGATAGACTAACAAAAATTTAGAATATCCTATATCTGTTACTTTTGGAAAATTTTTTGAAAGTTAAGATAAATAACATCGTCTCGTAACATTAAGTGATTATTAAGAGAGCGTTTATTAAGAGATATCATCTAATTGATAAAATTTTATTTGTTCTGCGTTTTCCTTTAGTAGTAGAAGAAAAAGTAAATTGTAAACGATGGATAAGCAGCTTATCAAGATCCACACATGAGGGATTTATTATTATTATTACAACTTCTTCGAAACATAGATACGATATATCACAATTAATCGTAATCGTTTATTTATTAGCATATTGGACCAGCGCATAATTATCGGGATTCAGCTATGGCACGCCAAGCAATCCGCGGTGCAGGATATGAAATCGCGTTGGGAGCCATGCCAAAGTCGATCGGTCCGTTGACCTTTGTTTTCACGGGTAGCGGCAACGTTAGCCAGGGTGGCCAAGAGGTTTTTCAAGAGCTACCTCACGAATACGTACCGCCGGAAATGTTGCGGAAAGTCGCCGAGCACGGTGGTATGTTTATAACTCGCTCTACGACGTCGTCATTCGCGTTTCACAATTCGCGGAAAGGTCGCCTTTATGTCGCGCCCTCTCGCAAACACCGTAATCGTCATCGTGCGCTGATTCCGATCCTCTTAAACTTATCTCTCTTGACCTGTTCTTTCGAAATACGATTTTAAGAGTTTCTTTAAATCGTATTGAATGTCGCAACGGATGCATTTTCAAAATGCGATTTAATTTATATAACTTGAAATCGATTTCGAACAGAAAAACATTTATAAAATTATATGACAAATTTTTGCATGAAATTTGTGATCTGTAATTATGTGGTTACATTTAAAAGACATATTTTAGAAACACGCACACACATATATATATATATATATATTAATATTGTATTTTTTTTGTAAAATATTGATAACTGTTTGTGCAATTAGTTTTAATGCATAATTGGCCTATCGGAGAAATAGTCACTATAATCATTAAATAATCTTTATGACAAATATCACGCTTTTATCCAATTACGATCTTAATAATTTTATGATAGGTGCCTCTTAATTTTTCTACTTCTATATTCATATATATATATATATAGATTTTTCCTCCTTTTTTCAATGATAAAACTCTTTGCGCAAGGCTCAAGAATCTATCATCGTCGTTTAGAGTAAACAAAAATATTTATCACAGCAGTATTTCTTATCAGCTGTTATTTATTCTTCAAATAATTCCAGATACGACAAAGATATACGGCTGCGAGGTGCGGCGCAGGCATCACCTGGAAAGAAAGGAGGGCGGTGGCTTCGACCCCGAGGAATACGATCAGCATCCGGAATTATATATTTCTACTTTTAGCAAAAAGATAGCGCCGTATGCTTCGGTGATCATTAACGGCATATACTGGGCAGTAGACTCGCCGAAACTATTAACGATACCGGACGCTAAATATCTACTCAGGCCCGCAAATACACCATGGCTGCCGATAAGTGTCGGTGCACCCGCCTTGCCGCACAGAATGCTTGGAATCTGCGACATATCCGCGGATCCGGGCGGTAGCATCGAGTATGTGTATTCATATTTGTTAAAAATCAGAAAAAAACGTAACAATTTTTATGTAAACTTGTAGAATTCTGTAGTAATATTGTTATAATACTACAGTTATAATACTGTGATTAGTGTTATAATACTGTGATTTTATAATACCTTATGTTTATTATTATTCATATAAAAATTACATTTTTTTATATAATTTATAATTTTTATTACAATATAATCATTTATAATAATATAAAAGTATGAACTGTTTTAGTTGACATTGTATTTGACATTGTATTTGAGCTTAAAATTTAAAAATCGAACAATTATTACATGAATTTTGTAGAATTTCTCAAACTCTTCGGTTACGATGTCTCATCTTTTAATTAGATATTTTATCATTGTAATCATTTTATTATTTTTTTATTCAAGATTCATGAACGAGTGCACAACGATCGATACGCCGTTCTGTCTATACGATGCAGATCGTAATAAGGACACGAAGTCCTTTAAAGGTCCTGGCGTGCTAGTTTGCTCGATTGACAATATGCCCACGCAACTACCAAAAGAAGCGACAGATTTCTTCGGCAATCTTTTATATCCGTATGCTTTAGACATCATACAATCGGACGCGAAAAAACCTTTAGATGAGCACAATTTTAGCCCTGCCGTGCATGGCGCCATTATCGCATCCAATGGAAAATTGACACCCAATTTCGAATATATCCAAGAACTTAGACAGCTCAATCAACGTATCAAACACAAAGCCGATAATGGAGAACAGCAAAGCAAAACGGTAAAACGATAACAATTCGCAACGGAAAATTTTATAATTTTAACGTTATTGTAAAATATAATGAGAAAATATTAATACAATTAAATTTATTTAAAATCATTTTAATCTCTGGATTCTAACAACAGATTTAAAGCAATATTCAAATTAAAATATGAAATTACAATAGTTTATTTATGCCAACAGGTGGTCGTTTTAGGCGCAGGATACGTTTCCGCACCCTTAGTTGAATACTTACATAGAGATACGAATGTAAAGCTGATAGTGGCATCACAATTGAAGGACGAGGCCGATGCGTTAGCTAATCGGTTCTCAGGTGTGGAACCAGTTTTCTTGAACGTCCTGGATCGCCCCGATACTTTGCACGACGTAATAAAATCGGCAAATGTAGTCGTTTCTCTTTTGCCTTATTCATTACATCACGTCATTGCCAAAGCTTGCATAGAGACAAAGACTCATCTAGTGACAGCAAGTTATATGAATGACAATGTAAAGGCATTGCATGAAGAGTAAGTAACAAAATTGTATCCTAAGGTGTATAATTATGTATCTTATTCGGCACAATTATATCCAAAACATCTTGAGAAACTCAATATATTTAATAAGATATTTAATAAAATCTTCTCGTTTTTGGAATTAGTGAATATTGCCAATAATGCAATCTCAGCAATCTCGTTGCTTTTTGAAATTACAATTTATCGAAAATGCAGATGGAGAAGATCCGCCAAAAATGCAGAATCGTTTTTTAATATAATAAAAAATATAATAAAAAGAGATAAATTATTGCTACAATACATTAAATACATTTACCTAGAATATCGAATTTAAATTTTTAAATTAAATTATTAAATTAAAAATTTTTAATTATTAAATTAAAATTTATATTTCTTTTCTCTTGGATAGGGCTCAAGAAGCGGGCGTCACTGTGCTAAATGAAGTAGGATTGGATCCGGGTATTGATCATCTTTTGGCAATCGAATGTTTCGATGATGTAAGACAAGCAGGTGGCAAGATAGAATCTTTCGTCTCATGGTGCGGTGGTTTGCCCGCGCCGGAGTGTTCTTATAATCCCCTGAGATATAAATTTAGTTGGTCTCCACGAGGCGCGCTACTAAACACTTTAGCACCAGCAAAATATCTTCATGAGGGTCAGGTGAATTGTTAAAATATTTTTCTTAAATTTTATCTAAATATCTAAGAGTACAGAATTTATCACTATTACACTATTACGAAAAAAAAAATGATAACATATTATCTTCTCTTTATCGATGTAGGAAGTAGAAATTGCGGGAGGTGGCGATTTAATGTCCGCCGTACAGGATTTGGACTTCCTTCCGGGTTTTGCCCTGGAAGGTTTCCCCAATCGTGACAGCTCGGTGTACAGGGATTATTACGGTTTACACAATGCAAGTACTGTGCTGCGTGGTACTCTCCGATTCAAGGGATTCTCGGATACCATACTGGGTCTGCAGTTACTGGGTTTGATCGATCCCAATCCGCATCCGATTTTGCACCCGAATGGACCGGACATCACTTGGGTATGTGTATTTAATTTCCGACATATACACAGGATATTTAGGAAATAAAAGAAATATCGACCTCTCTCGGTTATTTGTCGCTTAAATTGCAGCGAGTGTTGGCATGCAACTTGCTCGGCCTAGCGAACGACAACATCTTCTATGGAAATTTGAAGCAGAAATTGGCGGAAAGAGTAAATTCGTGGGAACGTGTGAAAGCTATCGAAGCTCTAGGTCTTTTAGAAGAGGATTTGGTCTTGAAATTGAATACCCCTCTCGACACGCTTACGCATTACTTGTCTAAGAAACTCTGTTATGAGAAAAATGAGCGTGACCTTGTGATATTGAGGCATGACGTTGGCATACTCTGGCCAGATAACAGAAGAGAATCCAAAGGAATTAACTTGGTACTTTATGGAGAGTCTTCTGGACATTCCGCAATGGCGCGTACCGTCGGTTATCCCGCAGCTATTGCCGCTAAGATGATTCTGGATGGTTCGTAGATTTTCGTTAATATTTCTCATATATTTATTTATTAAATTCCTTCATATATAAATTTATTAAATTTACTACTAATTAGCTAACTACTTTATTTTCTTTTCGCGTAAAATAATTTTTATACTCCGAATGTTGCCAAAAAGAATATATAAATATTTTCTAATTAAATTATTATAAAAAATCGTAATCTAAATATATGTATAGAAACTCTGAAAATTTTTTAAAAACATTAATAAAAATGATCTAAAAACTAAGAATATTTATTTGAATTATTTACATATCTATTAATTCTTTTAATTCATGAATTATGAATCGTAACTTGCCTTGTTAAATTCTTTGTATGTTCATCCGAATTTATTCTAATTCTTCTTGCATTCTAATTTTATTCAGGTGAAATTCAGCAACGTGGAATGGTATTGCCTTTTACTCCCGACATATGTCGACCTATTCTTAATAGACTGAGAGCTGAAGGTGTACAGTCCTTTGAGACTTCTAAATGGCTCTGATTCATTCATCGTAAACTGCCATAATTTTTGTACAACTGTACGTATGTATGCCCTTTGCACTACAAAAATTGAAAGTCAATATATTTTATTTAAATGCGTAAAGTATGAGATTTTGTAAATTTTGTAACGATTTTATACTTTTAACAAATATGTAACATAAGCTATTATACGTATAAACATAGTATTAGAAATTATTCTAATAAAAAATACGAGAATATATCACTTTTCCTTTTCTATTGTACCTATATTTCTATGATTTACATTAATGAATTTTTACATCTAAAATTTTTTTTTCGCATTAATATGTATGTGATAGAAAAGCAGAGAAAACGGGATTTTTAATTTGATATATTTAACATTTATTGATATTACCACCCCAATGTGAAAAATCACTAACAATACAATGATATTTCACTTATTGCAATCTCTTTTTGTTTCGATAATTCTAATCGCCTTAAGATATAATTAGAATGATAACACAGGAACACCACTCTCTCACCTCTACTCGTTACGAATTGAAAACGAATCGATTTCACGCGCCGGAACAATCGGAAAGACCATCGAATTGCACCGGTAAAATAATTAACTTGTAGCCGTGATTTGCACGTAGTGCGTCTGTCACACGACTAATTGATTTGTGTGACAAATCCGATAACGCTTCGCAAGAATTAGATAAATCTAGCAACAGTGACTGGCACTATTCACTGCTGTTTTAAACGCCAAATTTGTGCTAGTTAAATAAGAATATGTATAATAAATTATACTTTTAATCAATTCATGGCTTTCATAATTATCTTTACGCAGATAATGATGCTATACATATACGTAATTGAAGCATTCTGGTACAATAACTCAATTTATTATTTAAAAGCAGTAAATACTTTAAATTACGTTGGTATTTAATTTTGGGTCTTGTGCGTGATGTAATTTGATGTTTTTGCTCCTCGTTTCTAAAACTAAAATTAAAAGTAAAATGTTATAAATATCCTCGAATTTTGTATGATGCTATAAAATCTATTACTATCACAATAGTGATTACAGTAATTTCTAATCGGTCTTTGTTTTGCAAATTATTGTATGTGATGTGATCATAACTTTCGTAAATAAATTTCTAATAATCTCTAATCTTTGTGTATATTACGCAAATTACTGAGATGATCATAATTATCATAAAGTAATTACGAGGGCTTTCAAAATATAAAGAAGCACATCTTTCCTACAAAAAAAAAAAAATATTTAATCAGATGTAACAAGAAAATATATGAAAAAAATTCAATCCAATTAAGTTTATTTTAAAAGCCCTTATAAAACAGAAAATTGTTGATAGTGATAATTTCAAAATCTGTAGAAACGCATATTTGCATACATTACATTATTTAAAAAATTAAATTTACTTCAAAGAGAAATAAAACATCGACATTCGCGCGCAAAGAGCTCTCAACGATTCGTCAAAGTGTTCCGAAAGAAATTCCGTCTATCTTAATCTTTAACTAGAGATTACCTATCGATGTCATTAATTAGATACTACGTATGATGATTTACAGATTGGCAGTATGAGATATAATTAATGCATTTTGCATAATCACTTTAGTAATGTATTCTGTATTATCACTATAAAGAGTAACAGATCCGAGCCTGAGGAAGGATCTCGCTAATCGATTATAACTCTAACTGTGACTTCACTATAAAAAAGTGCTTCCAAGCTCAACAATTGTTTCTAATATAACCAGTGATATTACGTAACGATTAACTATTTTAATAAACGGTGACACTCTTTTCACGAGCAATATTAGTATATTATGCGGAAGCCACATCGATATTTCGAGCGTCAATATATTTCTTCGAATATTGAAAACTTTGTTTAAAAACAAGATAAAATACTGAACAATATTTAAATCTTATTTATAATATTAATTTTCTTTGTTCTTTTCTAAACTAACTTATTAAATATCTTAAATAGAAAATAATTAAA